GGAATTCTGGGAGTTGAAGTCCACAGGTCTTCAAGTCGCCAAGGTTGAGAAACACTGCCCTACAGGATAAGGTGGGATAAGGTTCAACGGCTGCTGTGAATCCGGATCGCTGGCTCAAAAAGGAGGCCTCCTGGTGCATCTCTGAATGATGCCATCAGCCTGGGTCTAGTCAGTTTCTGCCATGGGGCTGACACTCCACCTGGGTCCCCCCAGGCTATTTCACACGCATTTGTCTTTGGAGTCGAGAAAGTCTGAATTCTTACAAAACGCGTTGCCGTTAGAGGAAACGGGGGCTGTGCCCGCCAAAATTAAAACAAAAAAGAACCCCAAAATCCAGGGTTGGAAAACACAGATGGGCAAGGGGCATGGAGGCCTGGTTCGTGCATCATGGTTTTTCTTTAACCATGGCTCGTTGGTTAAGACACGCCTGAGCTGGCCTCGCTGCTGAGCCTTCAATGGCGGTTTAGACCTTGCACGAAACCGGCATTGGAAGCATCCAATCACCCCGCTTTGGGCTTTCATTTCAATGGAGTGGCTTGGGGGCGGGGGGGCAAAAAAATGAGCATTTTTCCCGGAAGAAAAGTTCTAGCAGGCCAGAGACCCCCAACCGGCACCTCGAGGGCAACTGCAGCATATGGGAGGGGGGTGTAAAATGAATGCAAACGCCCCCCACCCCCACGGCCCAACTGCTGCTTCAACCCCAGACAAGGCCCTGATCGGTGCCTTTGCGGTTTGCTCTCCTTGGAAAGCGAGGCGTGGAGATTCGAGGCAGGTTGGCACAAGGGGAAAAAAAAGGAGGGGCACGGGGCCTGGTTCTGCTCAGCGGGCAAGGCCAGGCAACCGCTAGCAACTGTCCCCATGGCAACAGCTGCAACAGCGTCTGCCCGGGACAGAAGCCGGCGAGCAAGATGGTTGACGTCAGGTCAGGTTTGGAAAACCTAGATGTGGGTTCCCTCCACACCAAGCAGCTGGATCAACTCCTGGCCTTCAAGGTGGGTAGGCGGGCAGGAGAGGGCAAAGGAGAGGGCCCCTCTTTCTTAAAGGCCCCCTTCCTTTCCGAAGCAGAACAAAAGGATCACCTGTGGCCGATGATCTTCTGGGGCTGGCAAGGAAGCCGCCCAGCCGAGCGGGCGAAGGTGCTTTCCTCCTCTTTGCAGAGAAAGGCCTGCCCCCCGACCTTGAAGCCTGAACTGGCATCCCAAGGCCGTCCACCATAAGTAATCCCCTTGGGAAAGGAGCATGGGGCTTCCTCGAGGGAGCTGTTCCAAGAGCAAGGCGGCTCGGGGCTGGCCAAGACCGTAAAAGACCGAGATTGGCAAAGGGAGGGCAAAATTTGGGGAAGGTGGCACCGAAGTTGGCACCCGCTGGGGTTGGGCTACGGGGTGCAGCTGCGGGAGGACTCGGGAAGAAGATGGAGGGTGGAATTGGGGGCGAGTGATCCAATAACCCCAAAACAGCTCCGAAACAGCCACGACAGGAACGGATGGAAATCAAAGAGGAAACCCAACCCGTCGACTTTGGATTTTTTCCAAATGATAAAAACGCAGAAAGGTGGCCAGGCCGCCTCTGGACACTTCTTTTAAACAAGCGAGCAGAATAACCACAAAACTGATTTTTGCAATTTAGGACTTGACTTCTGGATTTGGGGGAAGAAAGTTCTGTCTCATTTTTGTGCCGGGTGTGAGTCTGTGCATTTTAATCCCTTCTCTTCTCTTCTCTTTCCTTTTCTTTTCCTTAAAAGACCTGCTCCCTTTTCCTGTTACTTCCGTGCAGTTCAGATAATAATAATAATAATTGGGGACTATTATTATTATTATTATTATTATTATTATTATTATTATTATGGGCTGGGTAATGCTTAAGGGATTTAGTGCATTTTGCACAACTGGGGACAGTTATGAAGGAGCGTTTTTCACGTTACACACACACACACACACAAAATAACAAGCAAAAACCTAGCAAAATTCCTTTCAGGAAAACGTGCCCAGCTAGGGCAGACATTAGACTGCACAATATTATTTTATTAGGGGATCTGCCACCCCTGCTCCTCACCTCCAACCGCCCAGGAGGCTTCTGACTTGGCATCACCGCTTTGATCTTCCACACAACCCTGCAGGGTAGGCTGGCTTGCGGGGCGGTGGGGTGGGGCAACTGGCGGAAGATGACTCAATGAGCCGAGAGCTGGATTGCACTGAAACGTCACGTCGGGAGGTGCGCAAAATCCTTCAACGTTTCAGCCCCTGCAAAATGTTCCCTTTCATCTTCCTCCGTTCCTTCTCCAGTCTCCCCTCGTAACTTCTTTCGCCCCCCATCGGCGTCCTGAACAAGCCACGATTGGCAGGCTGGGCGGAAACGCTAAGCCGTGCGTGGCCCGATGTTTGCCAACAGCACCTTGAGAAGTCCAAGGCTGGGTAACTTCATTGCTTTTTCCTGGGGGCCCCATCTCCCCATCAGTTTGCCCCCAACTCCCCTCCGGGGCTTCAATTTGGGGGCTTCTCTTCCCACTCCCTTTTCTGCTGCTCCGGAGGAGGAACTACAACGCCCAGCCTTCCTTGCCTTGCACAGCTGGAAAACCATGGGCCTTTTAGCACCTGCTTTTCCTGGAGAATGCCACCTTGCATGCTGGAAACTTAAGAAGGACTAGCACCTTGGAAAAGCACTAGGCTTGAATATTTTTCTGAAGCACAGCTCTGTTGAAGCCGGGTTCCCACCACGGTTTGGGTAAAGCAGTGTTTGTCGACCTGAGCGACTTTAAGAGGTGTGGACTTCAACTCCCAGAATTCCCCAGCCAGGC